TTTTTTTTTGGCGGAACCGGGGATTGAACTCAGGCCCTTGTGCTTGCCAGGGAAGCGCTTATTCCACTGAGCCATCTCCCCTCTAGAAAGATCTAGAAAGGCTTTAAACACTCTTTTCCATTCTAAAATGATTACTGAATTATTAAATAAATTTACTTGCACAAGGAACTGGAAACAAACTTTCATAGCTAGATGGGAAACTAAAGTTCTACCAAAAGTTCAAAGTACACCTTAAGAACTCTTTAAAGGTTGGACTCAGTTTCAAATCCAGACTCAGTCATGTGCTGGAACAAGGTGAGCAATAAACCAGGAGAACAGCCCTACTGATTCATTCCTGCATCACTCTGGAGTTTATCTTCTAGCTGGCACCGTTCCGCATGCTGCTCCCACTGAATCCAAGTTCTGTTCCAACCACCTTGCCATAAGGGTGGCAGGAATTAGACTCTGTTACAAACCACTTTGTATCCTTTACAGAACTAGATGGAAAAGAAAGACCTATACCCAACAATAAGACAGTGACCTTACATTCTTGAGCAGGCCTGGCTGTAGCTCTATGATAGCACTTGTGCCTAGCATGTATGAAGCCCTGGGTTTGATTCCCAGCACCGCCCCCACAACTCCCAAGCAATAGTGATAAAAGCAGGCCTTCAGCCACATGAGGTGGTGGACACCTGTAATCCCAGTGCTTAGGAGGCTGAGGCAAGAGGGTCACCACACATTGAAGGCCAGCCTGGATTACACAGGGAGAGCCTGTCTCAAAAAAACCAAAACTGGGGGCCCACCCATCAGCTCAGTTGTTTAAATGCCTGATTAAACAAAGCAGTCAGACTCAGGATGCTGTGATTCGATTCCCAGATCCTCAAGCCAAACCAGACCTACTCTGAAGGCATCGTGAGGCCGCCAAAAAAAAAAAAAAAAAAAAAAAAAAACCCAAACCCAAACCCAAAACAAAAAAGCAGGGCTTTAAGATCAATCTAGCCATGGTACCATGGACAGGTCTTGGAACATGAAGGAGAGGTGTTAAAGATTAATGATGGCCTCAAGCAAGCAATAGGGAGGAAATAATAAAGGGCTACACTAAGGCCACAGCGGGAAGAGATTCAGAGATCAAAAACTGACAGGGTTTAATGATGGCAGGCCACTTAAGATTAAAAGGGAAAGGGAAATGTATCTTTTTGTACCTAGAGCTTAGGGGACCATGAAGATGACAAGACCACTGGCAGGGATAGACTTCACGGGCCAGTACGGGCTTCCAGGTAGATAGACAGGATGGGGGCTTTCATCACTGTTAAGGTGCTTACTGACTTTCAGAGTTCATGAGTCATATTACAACACCCTCTTTTGTTACTGTTGCCGCCATCACTGCTGCTGCTATTGCTGCTTTTTTTTTTTTTAATTTTAGGTAAGGGTCTACAGGGTGTTCAGGGTCTTACTACTAGAATGAACTTGTAGTGATCGCCTATTTACAGCCTCCCAAGAGGGTCACCAGGCGCATGCCACCACGCCCAGCCTCAACTGCAGCCTGGGGATGGAACCCCGGCCCCTGTGCCTGCTTGCAGGCGCTTTAATCTGCTGAGCTATTTGGCCAGCCCTTTATTGCTGCTTCTTTTTCCAGTGTTAGGATCAAACCCAGGCATGGCCCTGTGTGCTGACTAAGCATGTGCTCCACCTCTGAGTTACCCCTGCAGTTCCCCAATCGCATTATATCAGGGATTGGGTCCAATATGTTTGCATGACACTGTGTGCTTTCACAAACAACCACAAAGGTTCTGAAGCTTTTATGCAGAACCAAAAAACAGTGCTTTTTACAGGACCTCAAATGCACCCAGAAAACTCTAGGACAGCTGGGCTGTGTACCAACCTACACCCCGCCCTGAAAGAAGCCAGGCACAATTGGCTAACACATTCCACTGTGTACCTAAGAACCCCCATGAGTGTTTGCTGTGTTGAAAACCAGCCTCAGGTGACCTGTACTCATTGCACTTGTGTTCTGAAAAGTTCAGCACAGTTTATGTGTGCCTGCCTAACCACGCAAACCTTTGTACAGCCCGGTCTGTCAGTACGATGATACACACTGGAAAGGCCCAGGTATCACAAGGTCACAGTGTCTTCCAGAGAACGCAAACACCACAGGAGGCGATGATGTGGAAGCTGAACTCTCAGAAGGAGACAGGGTGGGGAAAGCCACAGGAAAAAGCACGGAAGATAAAGCCAGGGGAAGTAATATAAAGTAAGTTTCACGCAGGACACACCCTGTCTGTCTGTCATCCCCCCTGTGTTACAGGCAGGCAGGCAGGCAGGCAGGCAGAGGCTGACTCCCAAAGAACTCACATCTTTGAGAACAGACCATAGCTCACGGCACTTGTGGGCCCATCATTACACTCAAGCTCACACTTGGACATAAGTAGCTTCTAGAAGGCAGGTAGGTGTACAAGTCTCTTAACTACACACAGATGTTATACAAAGGGGAGAGAAGGCCTCTCCTTCTAGCACTCCAAGTAAGGGGCAGTTCTTAGATTTGCCTTCAACCAAGTCAGCTGGCACCAAGGCAAGGTCACCCAGAAGGACGAAGGTGCCCAGCGGCTATGAGCACAATATATCCCAGTATGACCAGAGCTACCACAACAACTGGGATTGGAAACAGCAGAGCCTAGGCCTGAAGTGATGGGTGCCGAGGTACAGCAGGGTGATGGCAGGTAACAAGAATGAGGTGTACACTGGAAAAATCTAGACAACAGCTTTTTTTTTTTTTTTTTTTAATACGGGATGCTTCAAGAATTTGTGTGTCACCTGTAATCCCAGCTCTTGGGAGGCTGTAAACAGGCGGATCACTGTGAGTCAGATCTAGTAGTGAAACCCTGAACACCCTGTAGACCCTTCCCTAAAATACCAAAAAAAAAAAAGAATTTGTGTGTCATCCTTGTGCTCGGGCCATGCTGATCTTCTCTGTCATATGGCCCAGTGCTTCTCCCTACCTGACCAGCAAGTCTAAATCTCTGTCTTATGGCCAACAACAGAATAGCAACAAGAAAAAGGCTCTGTTCAACATCCTGGGTTAAAAAAAGAAAAAAAGTGCTATCTTCTCTGTATCATTCCAATTTTATATATGTGCTGCCAAAGTGAACACTAGAAGACAGTATTTTAAAGGTCTTCATCAGAAAGAAATGATACATGCGCCGGGCATGTTGGTGCCTACATACAACCGAACAACTGTAGCACTCAGGAGCCTAAGGTAGGAGAACCACAAGTTTGAGCCCTGCCTGGGAAACTTAGCAAGTTAGGGAGACTTTGTTTCAAAACTAAATAAGGGCTGGGGATGTAGTTCAGCCCCAAAACAGAAAAAAAAAAAAAAAAAAAAGTGACCCCACCCTGCCGTACTTGTTCAGTGTTGCCTTTGCTTTGCTTCCCTCCCCTTCAGGGCTTGAACCAACTGAACATAAAGGCCTACACGCCAGGGCTGAATGCGTGTTCCAAGTGCCACTCCACAGGGACCCAGCCCTGCCAAGAAGAAAACGGAGAATCAAGTGCTTTAGCTAAGCTTGTTCTAAGTAGGTGCTTTAGACCACTGAGCCATCTCTCCAGCCCCTCAAGTCTGCATCTTGTACAGCAATTAACCACTAGGAAGAATGTATGCAGTGTGTTAATTATTGAAACTGTCCTACCGATTTGATTTGCAAGTGTCTCATTGCTATTTGTTTATCAATAAAATTATGGGAAAAAATAAAATAATAAAAAATA